CAGCCGAGCACATACTGGTGTCTCGTCGGTTCAATAGTTTATTGGGGTCGTCACCTCTTCTTCTTCTGCTGTTGTACCACCGTGAAGACAGGGTTTCATCAAGTTTCTGGTAAGGTCAGAGACATTGCTGCACTGCTGAGCCGTTCGCTCTGGTTGCGCATTCATCACTGACGAGACACTGCCCCATTTCGCAACGCGAGCCGCGCCGTACTTCTACTTCGTCCCTCGCAACGTAAGTCACGGTCCGAGACATTGGGAAACATACGGACATCATGCTTGTATACGGCGAGGAAAGATGACAGCCCCAAAGTCAGATGATGTGAGGTATCAGTCCAAGGCGAGTGAAACGTTTCGCGATAGTACTGCAATCAATCGAAGGCGGCAGTTGTTTCTTAGTGTGCGAGTATACGGACGGGAACTGAAAATAGAAGGCGATTTTGTGAACTGAACAAGGGAAACGATGTCATAAAGACAAAGTGGACTGAGTTGCGCGTTACCTTCAGCCGCTTACTCTCGGCGACCCTCGTGGCGGATCTGACACTCGCCTGTGGAGAGGACCCATCCTCGCATCTTACTCGGAGTGCCGTGGGTCTGAACACAGGCGTTATTGCCGCGCCGCCGCAGGTGCTGGGCATGCAGCGCACCGACCGAACCGAACAACGACGCCAGCTAACGATACTTCTAGATTTTGGAAGATCCGCCGTCTGGGTTCGCGGACGTCACTCCACGGCAAAAGCACTCGTTGAGCGGCGATATCGATAAAACATCTCCACAGAGCAAAAGCTTGATCCGATTCAAGCACTGCAATATGCGGAAAATAGGAGGGTTGAAACAGCGATGTGGACGGCCTTGACATGTGGACGGTGATCCATGACTGGTGAAACAGGGCCTGGCGTGTTCCTGCATAAGATCGGCCAACAAGCGAGCTGCCGAGGAAGGCAGTCAGCAAGATGCCTGAGGATGCGCTTTTGCCGGGCCAGGTGCGCATAGCGTGCATAGTAGAGGCCATCCCCATGCGGACGGGGAGCAGTGCTGCAAGATGAGGATGTGCATTGATAAGGCCGTGGTGAGTTCTGCTACACCGTCCGGGTGCGTGAGCTTGCATGGGGGCGTGGGCGTAACGGTAAGCAGCATGCGCAGGACACGCCGCAATCAAAAGATGCGAGAAGTGGATGCAGAAGGCGAAAGTACCGGTCCTCTTGTGGACCGCGAATGGTTCTGCAGCCGGAGCGTGCCTGAGGCGTCTGCGTGGCTGTGCTGGGCCCGCATGGAGGGTTTGCAGCCGATGTGCGTCTTTTTCCTTTTGCCATGGATGAACGACTCGCTGCTCGGGCCCACGTTCAGGCGGACAGGTCGCACGATGATAGGGAGCGCAGTCCGTCGTGCCATCTCCCACGGTAGCGATACATCACGTCGCGACGACAGCGTGGGCAGGCAGCGAGGCGCACGCCGGCGGCAGAGGGCTCCCAAATCACCAGCCTGCAACGGCCCCGGCGTGCGACGTCTTGCCCGCATCGAGCCAAGTCAGGGGAAGGCGGCGCGGATCACTCGTCTTTAGACGTTTCGGGACCACCAGGGGACCAATCGTCGCCCGTCACTACCGATGCCGCCACGAATACGACTACACCCCCGGTCCAGGCTCAACCGCCTCGTGTCCAAAATGGCGACCAACCGCACCGCCGTAGGCCGAGTTGAGCATGGACTGGGAATAGCATGCCTCGATATATGACCCTGCTGCTGACCCGCCCCTGCTCCGTTTACGCCGCAACTCTGATTCCTCGTTCTTTGACGTCGAGGTCTCTACCGCACACCTTTTCTTTCCAGACCTTCAGGCTTGCTCCAAAGGTCGTTACGCTCTTTAGCATCGGTTTTAATAGTCCTTCCTTCTTTAGGTTCTCGAGTCACCTTCACTTTCGACTCTTGGCCGTCCCGGTCCTTCAACCAAACACAAAAAGCACCCACTTACCTTCTTCACCATGGCCAACTTCAGCAAGCCCGCCAGCATGATGACCATGGTCTTCGGCCTGTTGTCGCTTCTCCAGTTCACCGTTGCTTTCCAGCATGGCTCCCACCACCACGCACACCCTGCTCGCGCCGCCAGCGACGCTTCCATTGCGGCCCACATCAACGAGATCGAGGGCGAGCTCACCAAGCGCCAGTCGCGCGGACCCATCGCCATCACCGGTGTTTGCAGCTCTGGCACTGCCTCCAACGGCCAGTGCAATGGCGGCAGGACTTCTGCTCCCCGTCTTGAGATCCGTACCTTGGCGCGCAACGCCGACCAGTGGAACCTGTACCTCCTCGGTATGGAGAGGTTCATGGGCAAGGACAAGGACGACATGCTTTCGTACTACCAGGTCTCTGGTGTCCACGGTCGTCCTTTCCAGACCTGGAACAACTTCCCCGCGCCTCTGCTTAACCAGCAAGGTTTCTGCCCTCACGGAGGCTCGCTCTTCGGTTCCTGGCACAGGCCTTACCTTGCCATTTATGAGGTGTGTATCTTGATAATGCGTTTGATCGTACGCTAACAGTTCGCAGCAAGCATGGTACCAGAGCGTCATGGAGGTGATTGCTCAGTTCCCCTCCAACCAGCAGCAGCGATGGAGGAACGCCGCGTCCACTCTCCGTATGCCATACTGGGACTGGGCTATGGACACCAACGGCGGCCCAACTGTTCCCACTCAGATGCGCGACTCGACCGTTACTGTCACCAAGCCCCAGGGAACCGTCACTATCCCCAATCCGCTGTACAAGTACAGCTTCGGCAGCTCGCTTCCCTCTGAGATGGGTGGAGGCCCATGGAACAGCTTCCCTGAGACTCTCCGTCGCCCGGTCGCCAACCCTACCCGCAGCAACAACAACGAGATGAACGCCCGCTTCAACTCCATCCGCGTTTCTCTCCGTGACCGTGTCTTTGCCCTGTTCTCCAGCAAGGCTAACTGGGGCGCTGCCAGCACTTCCGCCATTGGTGTCCGCACTGACCTGAGCGGCGGTGGCGTTGACAGCTTCGAGTCCGTCCACGATGCCATCCACAACACTGCTGGTGGTGAGTCTGGTGGCCACATGTACTACCTCGATGTCTCGGCTTTCGACCCCCTCTTCTGGCTCCACCACACCAACGTCGACCGTCTCCTCGCCATGTACCAGCTCATTACCCCCAACACCTACATCTCCAACGGTAACATCCCCCGCCCTATGGCTCAGTGGAACCAGGGTGAGCCCAAGAACCAGTACTCTCCCCTCAAGCCCTTCACCAAGGATACCGCTGGCAACTACTTCACCTCTGTTGATGTCAAGGAGACCCGCACTCTCGGATACTACTACCCTGAGACCAGCGACCGTTCTTACCAGCAGGTCGCTCGCGCTGTTACTCAGCTTTACGGTGCCGGCCAGAGGACTCTTACCAAGCGTGACGGCGACGAATCCGCAACTGGCCAGTACCTCGGACGTCCCATCAAGGAGGGTGACTACCACACTGTTCTTTCCGTCATTGCCAACAAGTACGCGCTTGAGGGATCCTACACTGTTCACTGCTTCGTTGGAAAGCCTAGCAGCAACTCCACCAAGAACTCCACTGCGCCCGCGCCCGCAACCGAGTCGACTTACCCGCTTCTGAACATCACCACTCCTCTTCTTTCCATCACCATTGGTGGTGGCTCCGCTCCCAGCACCGAGGTTCCCAGCAACGAGACCGATGCCGCCTACGACCCATCCACCGACTACACCCAGGACCCCAACTACGTCGGTTCCTACGGTATCCTTGGTGCTATGATGCAAGGTGGTGCCAACGCTTCCCAGGCTCTCATGACTGAGGGTGCTCTTCCCTTGACCACCTGCCTCCAGGGTAAGGAAGCCGCTGGCGAGCTTGAGTCGCTCCGTCCTGAACACGTTGAGCCCTACCTCAAGGAGAACCTCTACTACAAGGTTGTTGGTGTCAAGGGCGAGATCGACGCTGACACCATCCCCGACTTCCACATCAGCGTCAAGTGCAACAAGGCCAAGCCCGCTGCCTCTGACGACGAGCTTCCCGACTTGAGCGCTCCTTACGAGGTCCTTGAGAGCGTCACTGCCCACCTCCCCGCCGGAAAGCCCTTCAAGTACATTCCCACTGCTATCGACATTCCTCTGCCCGATGGCCCAGAATACCTCGAGCCCAGCAGCGATGGCTCTAAGCCCCAGAGCCCCAGCAACGGTGTCTTCCCTTACCCATCCATGCCCTGGGAGGAGGAGGGTTACTGCATCACCAAGCAGACCATTGAGTACGTTGACGAGCAAGGTAACTTCTTGTACTCGGAGATGTAAGCTGGTAGATTTCGGTTATAGAGGAAGAGCGATGTGGTGGAGAAGCATGTGTATGCTTGCGTATGAAGGAACCTTTACATAATACCTTTCGATGTACATTGGACATGAGAGCTTTTTTTTCCTTACAAAATGTCAATTGATATCCAGCAGTGGTTCTCGTATAGTTTTTCCTAACGTCATCGTCTCCTTGATGTCCCTGTCCATAGCGTAGGCGTCCATAGCGCTTTGCAATATGACCATAAACATACTTCGGTTCCGATGCCGTGCATGTGCTGCTTTATGACATGAAATTATGAATGCTGGGGTGGTTTCATGAAGCGAGACCTGCCAAATATCGAATGCCTGCTGTGTCTCTTATGAAGCCGACATGCGCAACTGTGCACACATGTCGGACATCACATAGGAATCGCTCAGCCAAGGCAAGCTGCAGGCATGACGAGCTCCGGCTTGCGTGGACGATGGCGCTGTGCCCCGCTGGTACCAAAAGGCGCTAGCGACTCTTTGGCCGATGTCTCTGGGCACGCACCGCGAGCACCACATCACGGCAGTATCTCTCATCCTGCTTGACCATTCCTAGGGTCCCTCAGGCATTCCTGCGTAAGTCCTACACCATCGTCGTCATTGCATACCGCATCTACACCTTGTGCTTCTTCAGCATGGCGGCTGAGCCGCGCAGTCGCGACAGCTTCCCGGTCCCAATGCGGGTGCTAACATTTTATGATTGCCATGCTAATATCTCATAGACCAGTCCGCCCGCCATGCCCGCCATGCTAGATGACCCCACCGCGCCGGTGATATATAGGACCTCTGGCGACGTACCGTACCCTCCTCCCGGTGGCCCGCTACCTGTAGGCATTGCACCATGTCAAGTCATCCTGCGCGATCGCGTGACTACCGCAACGATTATACCTTTCTCTGCGCCGAATCAAGTACCCCTCACACTACTGGCATACCTATGCGACCAACTGGGTCGCGAGATAGAAAAGGGAGATACGTACCCCATGGTTGATCCGCTCGCTCTGGAGGCATTCGGTCCGTACTGGTTCGGTGTTTTTGGTGCGATCATGTTGCTGGGTGAGATCCAGGACGGTCGCGAACTACACGAGATGGCGCGGAGGGGTTGTGACTGGGAGAGGGAATGTCTGGGTAGCTTCTACATCAAGCCCAACTACCCAGGACGGTCGAGTCATGTCTGTAACGGCGGGTTCCTAGTCACGGATGCGTCGCGCAATCGGGGTGTCGGTCGCTTGATGGGTGAGACCTATCTGGACTGGGCTCCGAAGCTTGTGAGACCGCCGCGAGAGTTACATCGCATGCGCTAACACGCTCAGGGCTATACCTACTCCGTCTTCAACCTCGTGTACGAAACCAATGTCGCTTCCTGCCGCATATGGGACGCCCTCGGCTTCAAGCGGATCGGTCGCGTGAAGGGTTGCGGTAACCTGAAGTCATATCCCGGCGAGCTTGTCGACGCCATCATATACGGAAGGGACCTGGGTCAGGATGACGAGTTTGTGTCTGAGGAGCGCTTCGACAAGATCCGCTTCTATCTCAAGAACGGAAAATACCCCAACGGTGCTGATCGAGCAGAAAAGAGCCGTCTTCGTAGCGCGGCGACGCACTACAAGCTCACACCCGGAGAGGGCGATGGACCTGAGAAGCTGTGGCTCAAGGGCAAAGAGGTTATTGCGGATCCCAAGCAGCAGTATGAGATCGCTCGCGAGATACATCATAAGTCACATGGGGGCATCAACAAGACTACGGCAGCAATTGCGGAGCTCTACCATTGGGTCCGCATAAAGGAGACTGTCAGCCAGGTCATACGCAACTGTCCAGAATGTAGCGAGATGAACAAGGGACTGTCGGCTATGCGCCAGGGTCAGAATCAAGCACGGGCAGAGGCGAGATCAGGATCCAGTTTCCTGTCATCAACCACTACCCAGCCAACTCTGACACCAACACCGCCGAGTTTGTTCTCACCAACACAACCACCGCCTCGTTCAGACTCACCTGGTGGCCAGCTACAGCTCGAAGCTGCACAGCACCAGAGCGCAATCTATCCACAGTACACCCAAGATAACGGCTACGACCTGCCAGTCGATCCCGCACTCATGCATGAGCTACAGCCTAATACCAACCTTGCCGATCTTCCGCCATCGCCGTTCCTTGCAGCTCAGGCGAATGGTGTACCTCATCCGGGGGAGCTTGATCATCAGCGCATGAGTCTTGATCCAAGCTTAGATGAGCGGGCACCCACTGCAGGGGAGGAGATGCGTAGGAGGTTGAACCGTGTGAGTCAGTATGAGTGAGTAGATGTAGTGTTGTTGAGTGAAGTGTTGAACTCACCAGCGTATGGCGAAGGTGAGTAAACCAGTGATACCAGACATGTAGGCGATGGGAAATGTGTATGAAGAAGCCTCAGGAGAATACGTGGAGGATCATACCCAGGATACAGCGGTGTCTCCGATGATGCAAGTAGCACAACGATGAAATCATTGCAAAATTCTGGTTGATTTGAATCATACTTGTGATTTTGTGTGCTTGATTTGGCATTTATTGCTATTTGACAGTATTTAAGCTAATAGCTACATGTTTATGGCTCTCCCATCAAAATCGCCGGCTCACATCTTGCCCCTCTCACTGTTTTTGTTCCGTAAGTTCCCCTCTTACATATCTCGACCTAATTTTTCCCTCCATTTCGTTCCTTTCGCTCGCAATCAAACATCTTCATATGACCTCTTCCTCTTCCCATCTAACCCTCAAACAGCCCCCACTCCTTCACTTCGAAGCTCTCCAAAACCTGCTCCTTGACCGTCTTGCTATCCTTCATCAACTGCGTTTCCCCACCCTGCTGTTCTGCTGGCGTGTATTCGCCTGGGTAGTGTGGAATGTTGACTGATACCATGACCTGCGATGTGTGTTAGCCAACAAAGAGATGAACATTAGATAGTAGTGATGTAGTTCTATACTTACATCAGTACCTTGCTCCTTGAGGCGGAGAAGAAGGAGATGGATATACGTGAATTCGGGAGTCTTGCGGTTGGGGTGAGGGTTGGGTGTTGGTGGTGTTTGGATGAAGGATAGTGCTAGGACTGGCCTGTCCCTGTCATCGTGGTCAGCTATTCATCCACGCTTCTGTATACAAAACTTGATCCTCTTCGTTTTCGATCCTACTTCGTCTTTCCAGAATGATGGAGTGGAATACTCACGGCAAACTCTTCATCACAGCGCGTTCTTGCGAGATGATCGTACTCTGATCACCCGTCCCCTCGACTAGATCTCCAAAATGATACTGCAGCGCTTCTTCGTCGCTGTTCTTCTCGACATACTCCAGGATCTCAACGACGATGCTGGAGTAGCCGTTGTTGTCGAGGTAGACTTCCTGGTGGTCGGGGATTTGGCGGATTTGACTGTCGAGTTATCTATATCAGTATGCTGTATTTTGGATTGGGAAAGATAAGTGCCTGCCAAATTAGGCATTTGGAGTGGTGGTGTTGATGGAACGCATGCAAAGGGAAGGCGCGGGATGTGGGGGCGCACAGGATGAGAGAACTTACGAGGCGTCGGCGAAGTTTGAGGGCAGGTCGAGGGTTATCGCGCCGCCGTAGAGGGGTGTGTTTGTGAAGGCCATCTTGTAGCTTTGTGTTCGACTGTATGTTTGTTGCGACTTGTTGCACTCTCTGCAGAGCTAGATGCGGTTCTTATGTTGTGATCGATGTTGGTGATGGCGAGAAGGGACGTAGGTAGCCACCAGGCAACATCAGGCAGCATGGAAAACGGCAACCTACAACGTTTTGTTGACAACGCAGTAAGCGCACGGCAGTTTACTCAGGTTGCTGTGAGGTAACTGTGTGAGCAAAATTCAATGTACATTTTGTTAGTACTGATTTGGTTCATTCTTTGTACGGCATGGGATTGACACAGCAGCCAGATAACGTTGTTGATTTGGATAGCAAGACGCAACAGTCACTATGATAAGGTTAAGACATTTTGGAAACTTGTGTTTCAATTTGAAATGTAGGGTATCGTCTGAACTTTTTGTCCTTCTATATGTCCCAAATGCCAGTTTTGAACGCCGTGCAATGCATGTTCTTCTACGAGCCCGAGGGCGTCCTAACCGCAGCTATCGTGTTGCCACCGGAGTGATGTCTGATCCCCCAAAGCATTTCAGTGGTCGTCCTGCACTCCTAATCCTGCCGTCCATCTGCCGTGGACTGCACATCGGATAGTCTTGACCGTTGCCGTGACCTCAACCTGATGCTGCGACCTGGTCAACCTCCATCGGGGCTGTCGCGGTGGTCGTGCGCGTTCCGTTGTTGGTCGTAAGGCCTATCGCTGCCTCTGCTTCTTTCTGCGAGTATGGCTCTTCGCGAAGTTGCTTGACTCTGCAGATCGATTAGAACGAATCATTACGATCGCAAACAATGTAATTCCTACCTGCGCTTATGAACCTTGCCCTTCTGGTGTGCGACAAAGTTGGCGTCGCTCTCAAAAAACTTTGCGCATTCCTTGCAGTAGAATTCGCCCAGGCCGGGCAAATCTTCTATGGGCTTCGCATCCTTGAATTCCGCAAGATGCTTCTCGTCGCGCAGGTCGGCGTGGATCTGGTCGAGGTCGCGCGTGTGTCGACGTGTCTTCTTCTTGGAGTCTTGTCCGCGTATGGCTGGCATGGTGGGCAGTATCCGCGGCCGTCGGTTATCCGTGTGGAATCGTGATGGTCGGCTATAGAGAAAGTTGCAGTGTGGGGACACCTGCCGACGGGGGCCCGTGCCCGGTCTGCAGGTCAGAAAGACTTGTGGAGCTAGGTCGAATCAGGTGCTGGTAGATGCTACTGTCGCTCCAGACCCGAAATTTGCCATGTCTGCAGGCCTGCGCGCTGACTCGGCACACAATTGTTGAGTCGGAAAAGGACGCGCAGGCCGCCGGCAGCAGCGCGCGCGTGAATGTGCTATCGCAGAACGCCAATCACCTGCAAAAGGAACGAGCGCGGGGTTGGTGAACCGCTGCCGGGTATGACGTCTGGGTGAACACCTATAGCTTCCCGACACATGGCTGCGCGGCCTCCAAGACGTGAAATAGCAGCGGGCAGCCAGTCGCACACAGCGCAATTACTCTCTCCATAATTGCGTCTCCATTACATCGTCCTTGCACGTGAAGCGGGCCAACGGGACTGCGCTGCCGACCTGTTTCTGGTTCTGGCGCCGAGGTATTCCGCACGCAGCTGGGGCTAGACGAACCAATCACGCCCCTCGTGATCCTCATTAGTTATCGCCCAACTTGAGGCAGCTTCTGACGTTCTTTTCCTCCGCTTCCTCCATCACTCTTCTCTCCACACCACTCCCCTCCTCAAACTTCACCATGCAGAAGTTCTCGAGGCTCGGCCGCCTGGGCCAGAGCCTTGCTTCGCGCAGGCAATTGGCCACCGTCAGCGATGCTCCCCTCTCTCGCAAGGTCGAGATGACCAACTGGGAGAAGGGCCACTACATCAACTACCAGAAGATGAACGAGAACCTCGAGATTGTTCGTGCCCGCTTGAACCGCCCGCTCACTTTCGCCGAGAAGATTCTCTACTCCCACTTGGACGACCCCCACGGTCAAGAGATTGAGCGCGGCTCCAGCTACCTCAAGCTCCGCCCCGACCGTGTAGCTTGCCAGGATGCCACCGCCCAGATGGCCATTCTTCAGTTCATGTCAGCTGGTCTGCCCTCCGTTGCCACACCCACAACCGTCCACTGCGACCATCTTATCGAGGCCCAGGTTGGTGGTGAGAAGGATTTGGAGCGCGCCAACGAGATCAACAAGGAGGTCTACAACTTCTTGTCCACCTCTTGCGCAAAGTACAACATTGGTTTCTGGAAGCCCGGCTCTGGTATCATTCACCAGATCGTGCTTGAGAACTACGCTTTCCCTGGTGCTCTCCTCATTGGTACCGACTCGCACACTCCCAACGCCGGTGGTCTCGGTATGGCCGCCATTGGTGTCGGTGGTGCCGACGCTGTCGACGTCATGGCTGGTCTCCCCTGGGAACTGAAGGCCCCCAAGGTCATTGGTGTTAAGCTTACTGGCAAGCTCTCCGGCTGGACTGCTCCCAAGGGTACGTATTTGCAATATTGGTTTTCGAAGCGGGGCAACCACGCTAACGTAGTCTACAGACATTATCCTCAAGGTCGCTGGTATCCTCACCGTCAAGGGTGGAACTGGTGCTATCGTCGAATACCACGGACCCGGTACCGAAAGCTTAAGCTGCACGGGTATGGCGACTATCTGCAACATGGGTGCTGAGATTGGTGCCACCACCTCGCTCTTCCCCTTCAACGACCGCATGTACGACTACCTGGCCGCCACCAAGCGCCGCGACATCGGTGACTTCTCCCGCGAGTACGCCGCCCAGCTCCGCGAGGATGAAGGTGCCGAATACGACGAGCTCATCGAGATCAACCTTGACGAGCTTGAGCCCCACATCAACGGTCCCTTCACCCCCGATCTAGCTACACCTATCAGCAAGTTCAAGGAGGCTGTCAAGGCCAACAAGTGGCCTGAGGAGCTCAAGGTCGGCCTTATCGGTTCCTGCACCAACTCTTCCTACGAGGACATGAGCCGTGCTGCCTCCATTGCTGAGGACGCCATGTCCCACGGTGTCAAGGCCAAGTCTCTCTTCACTGTTACCCCTGGATCCGAGCAGATTCGCGCCACTATTGAGCGTGACGGTCAGCTCAAGACCTTCGAGGAGTTCGGCGGTATGGTATTGGCCAACGCCTGCGGTCCGTGCATTGGACAGGTATGTTGTATTCCAGTCGTGGTAGCCTGGAGGTATTCGATACGTTTTGTCTTGTCTCTTGACAAAATAAACGCTCTCGTATGCTTCAAGGCTACCTTTTCCCTCCCTATGTCAACGTAGCCTGGAGGTATCCGATGCGTTTTGTCTTGTCTCTTGACAAAATAAACGCCCTCGTATGCTTTAAGGCTACCTATAACCCTCCACTTCTCAGAGTCCGAATGCTGACGACCCAACGGTGGGACAGAAAAGATGTAAAGAAGGGCGAGGCCAACTCGATCATCTCGTCTTACAACCGTAACTTCACTGGCCGTAACGACGCAAACCCCGCCACCCACTCTTTCGTCACCTCCCCCGACCTTGTCGTTGCCATGACCATCGCCGGAACGCTTTCCTTCAATCCTTTGGTCGATGAGCTTCAAGCTGCCGACGGATCCAAGTTCAAGCTCAAGGCGCCTACCGGCAACGGTCTTCCCACCCGAGGCTACGACCCTGGTCAAGATACCTATCAGGCCCCACCAGAAGACCGCTCAT